ATTTTACTTGTTTTCGTATTGAAGGTTCACAACCACCTGAATAAATTCTACGATAAATTTCTTTTTTATCAATTGATAAATTTTCTTTTTGTTTACTAAGAAATAATTCATTCCAACCCTCCGCTGTTAAAGAAAGATTTGAATCTAATTGTTCATTATTTTCTACTTTTAATACTGGATTAACAAGAGATGTTAAATGTGTACGAACAGTTTTTAAATGACGACAATATGCAAGCCAACCATAAAATGCACGTGATAATATTTGACGACGCATTGTATCACATAATGATGCCATTGATGATCTAAAAAAATTTATTTGAAAATATTTTAAGATATATAGAGTAATTTCGAATAGCATCAAAGAAATAAGAAAATTTTCTGTTACTATTTAGTTTTATAGAGATGTTGGTATTATGTTTGTAAAGAGTACATTTAAACGATTTATTTTCATTTGAATACTTTTGTTCGTATGTTATTTAAGTATTTAGAAATTGAAGGTAGTTGGTAAGATTGTAACACAACTTTTTTTTATTCTCGAATTAAAATTATTTAGAATTGATATTTACATGTTAAATTAAAAGATACTGATAGTACATTCCTTTAAGTAGCTTGGATTTATCTGGACTAGTAAACTATAATTAAATGCCATTGTGACAGATGCCTGGAGAATATTCAAAGATTAATTTACAAGCTGACATGGTAAAACCCTGTCTAAAAAGACCTTGAGAAGACGTTTTTTTGGCTTAAATCTTTTCCTACATTTTTTCTGAATTTTCTCCTTCTTTTGCCATACTCGATTCTATTCGCTGTGTTTGTTCATTGCATTATTTGTCTATTTCTTTTCTATCGATTTATCATTATGTTCCCTATAAGCACTTACGAATGTTACAATAAACTAGAGCATAAACGAAAGTATAATTAAGAAAACATAAAAATATACATATTCGAATTTTTCATGATTAACATCGTATACAGTTAGAATAATTTGAAAAAAATGCAAATTTTTACGAGAATAGAAACGTATTGTCATGAATCATTATTATCAATTAGTTAGTAGAAAGTTTTTTTGTATTTCTAATTTTGATACACATATAAAATTCAGTGTTTTATCCAGGTTTTTTTCTCCAGAAGGGCGATTTGAAATTCCGGGAAGGCGAAAAATTTTTTCGAAAAGGCAAGCCATATAGTTCGTCGCGCGATGATCGTGAGTCTCGGAGGCGGGCGCCCCTCTGGATGAAACACTGATAAAATTTAAATCGTTTGTTTTCCTTTACCTAACTGAAATACTTTTATGTAAACCAGTTGCTGGTGAAATATAAACAGCCGACGTTGCAAATGATGCATCTATTGGTGAAGCTGGTAATGGTGCACTAAGACTTGATGCTTGTGCTGATGGTGATGATGATGATTGTGAAGAAAGTGATGATGAATCAGCTGTTTCTGGTGACCATTGAGATCGATAATGTCCATTATTACTTATTGATTCCTCTAAATAATTGAACATCACAATGAAAATTTTATAATAACAAAAGAAAAAACAAATTCATAACATAAGCAGGTCAATTTCAAGGTTAAAATACCTTCTTTTAACCACTATTATATATATATATATATATATATCAAGCAGAAATATACATTTAGCAAGACACTACACAATATAGATCACTAACGATCAGTAAGAAACATAATACGAAAAACATAATCGCCAGTTGGTGATGATGTTTCTTCATCTGTTATATCAGCATTTGTTTGTACATTAGCATCATCATCACTTGTACTTAGAGATATTGCAGGTTGTGGACGTTCTGTACGATGATGTAGTTTAGGTAATACTTTTCCTAAAATAGAAATATTAAATATTAAGAAAAATTTCATTAGTTAATCTTTGTTCTATATGGTAATCTATAAGTAAGTTTACGCTAAAAAATTTAATTATCTTCGTCTTATGGGATGAATTTTTTTTATGTGATGGAGAAGACTTCAGAATTTTTTTTTCATAAGAACTTTATAAACTTACAAGTCATAACATAAATCTAGTATATTTTTTGAATCTTATATAATTCATTCTTGTGAAAAAAACCTCTTAAGTGTCCTTCATCATATTAAAAAATTAATTAGTCTCATTCAGTGAAAATATTCAAATTTCTTATCATAGTATTTGTTTATGTATCATTCAATAAAAGACTTTTCAATCAGAGTAACTATGACATAACATCATTTGTATATGTGACATCAATAATATTACTAGAAAAGTTTCATCATATTGAAATTCTTTTTTGCTTAACTCAATCAAATCTATTATTAATCAATATACAAAATATTTAAACTAACCTTGTCCTTTTTCATATGCTAATGGTGGATCAAGTTGACCATTTGGTGAAAGACCACTTTCCAAACAAGTAAGAAATGCTAACAGATGTCCACCTTTATCTTTAATATGAAATGGAGGATATTGTACACCATCACGACCAACAAATACAATACGATCACCATCAACTTAAAAAAAAAACAATTAAACAATTGAATAAAATTCAAATATATATTTTATTTTTTTACCATAATGATGACAATGAAGATAAACAATCGAAGAAATATTTATCGATATTGCATAATCCCAATAAACACTAAGAAAAAAAAAAAGTTTTTACAATAAAAAATATTTATAAAAATTATAATTTTAATAAACCTATATTTTCTTGATGATTCTACTGTCATATTTGTTTCTGATTCATTTGTTTCTTGTGTACTAATTTGTATTGATTTACTACTTTCACTATAACCATTCATAAGTTGATTTGGTGTCCATTTTAACGTTAAACCATGTTGATTATTATGTAATGATAAATAACCAGGTATCGGCTCATGATTAGGAGCCTAAAAAAAGAATAAATAATTCAAATAGAATATCATATACATAAAAGATTTTAGATCTTTCTTACCGGCTGTACATAAACATTATTTTTTCCATAAAGTAATTGTGATCTAGCATTTTGATGAAGCGATTCAACATAATCTCGAGCTGGATTTATTGACATTAATTGATTATGTCTTTGTGCTTCTTCACTTGATGAACTTATATTACGTTTTAACTGAAAAAATAAATAAATAAATAAATAAATTATTGATAAAAAAATCCATAGAATGACAACAATATATATGATTAAATTACATTTATTTGTAAACTTGGTCGATGTTTAATTGAATATGCACTATTCATATTAATCATCATTGTTGTTGGATTAACCATTGTTCGATTATTACTATGCATACGATGACGTTGAACAAGTTCATCAGCATGTGGATCTGTCCATAAATGATCAGATGTTTTCACTCGGGTAAATTCAAGTGCACATGAACCAGCTTTTTATCAAAAAAAATAAAATAAAATAAAATAAACAATTCAAAATAAAATAGATTGTATATTTTTTTTTCAATATTTACCAAGAAGAGAAGCTAAAATAGGTCCTTGTACAGAATTGCAAACAAGTGCATATGGTTCGTAGTATTTTCTTAAAAATATAAAATACAAAAATAAAGATGAAAAAAAAAAGCCAAAAATTTATTTCGAATACATACGAACTATTGATAACAATATATTCAACAATTTTATGTAATGATCGATGAATAAGTGCTGTACGTATCCATAAATATCGATTATATACTGCTGAACGATTTGATCGACGTCGAGCATCTTCAGAATATGCAGTTCGTGTTTGTGTTATACTAGATAATTTTCTAAACCAAACCAAATATCAAATAAGATTACTTGATAAAAATTTTTACTTTGAAAAACCGAGTAAACTAGTTGATTCATCATGTTGTCGATGATCATCATTAATAATTTTGACAACTTCAGCAGCTGCTGGACAAGTTTTAGCAAGTTTTTGTAAAAGTGCCATTGTTGTACTTGTTTTAAACAAACCAACAGCTCGTCGTTTAAGACCATGTAAAAGACATGCTTCAACAGCAGCTAAAATGAACAAAAAAAACCGATAACAACATAAAATTATTATTATTATTAGAATAATAAGAAATTAATTTTACAAACCACAAAGTGTTGTTATACTACAATTTTCTTCATGAATACACTTTTTCATCACAGCTTCTTCCATCATTTGTTTAACCTAAATATACTAATTAATAATATGAAGTTTCATATTCTTATATAAATACTTCTCGTTTAACATTCCATAAAAGTTTTTGACGAACTTCTTCTTGTTCTTAAATAAATTATTTCACAAATTAAAAGATATTTAAAAAAACAAAAAAAAAATTAATATTTTACCGTCAATATTAATATATGTTTCATTTGAATCATTCATTGTCTTATGATTTATAAATAATAATGTTCAAAACATGATAGAATCTTGATTAGAATAGACAGTAAAGAAGAAAGATATTAACATGGATTCAAATAACACAAGAAGATCGTTTTTTAAACAATTAAAGGGCGAATGTCATTCTATATGTTGCCCTTCGTCAGACAATTACACAACTGATTATTGTTTTTCTGTTTTTTTTTATTCCCGTTCTTCGGAACGCATCTCGAAGGAACGAAAGAATTGACAATCAAATAAGATTGTTCATTCAAAAAAAAATACTTTCTAAAAAACCAATGAAAACAAAGATAAATGAACGAAATATTTTCTTTTAATTTTAATTTAAAAAGTAAATATTGAATTTATTATACGAAAAATTGAAAAATAACAATTCATAACTCGATAAAACTAATTGAAAGCTAGACTAGCGTCATCTATAATTTGAATTCATTGGTAACGAGAATAAAATTCATATGTTAAAAATTTTATTTTTGTCAATTTCACATTTGTTTCATATGGTAAAGTTCATGTTGATAGACATTTGAAATTTCTACGCAATTTTCCTAAATTTTATTTTTTTGTTAGGTTTACATAAAAATTTAATTTAAAGAAATTTTCTTTTGAAAATATAATTCATTTCTTTAGAATGATTGATATTGTAATATTTTTTTTTATTTTAAGATGAGTGAATCTTTATCAACTTCAAATAATAATGCAAGTAATCCTAATTCTCTTAAAATCATCGTACTTGGTGATAGTGCTGTTGGTAAATCAAAATTATTAGAACGTTTTCTTGTTAATTCTTAGTGAGTTATTTTCAATTGTTTTTGTTTTTTAAATAGAATTTAATTTAAATAAAATTAAATGATATTATCTATTTAGTGTTGGTGCACGATATTCAACATATGCTGTCAATATTTTTAAACATACAGCAAAAGTTGATGGAAAACCACTTGAAGTTGAATTTTGGGATACAGGTTTTTCTCTATAAAATATTATGATTTTTTTTTTATTTAAGAAAATTTTTTTATTTATTCTAGCTGGACAAGAGAAATTTGATAATATTCATCAATCATATTTTCATCAAGCACATGCTTGTATTATGGTATGTAAATTTTAGTGTTATATTTTTTCTTTTTTTGTTGCGATATGTAACAGAGACCGATACAGAGCATCGTTTTCTAATCCTCTTCTATTTTTAGCAGCGACGTATCCAGGATTTTTCTTAGGGGGGATCAAATCGTTTTTTGTGCATCGTCATTGACAATTAGTAGTATATAAATACATTATAATTTTCTTTATTCATATTTAATTATTTCTCTTATCAATAAGAAAAAAAGACTAGATCTAAAACAAAAAAACATATTAAGGACCCCCCTCCCCTTTCAGAAAACCCAATTTTCCTAAGAAAAGTCGAAGTCGAATTTTTATCATAGAAAGATGCACCGTGATTTCCTCTTTCAGAATATATATGGCTTTTCGCAAAACGAATAGATTTTGACGGACTTATCGGCTGAAACTTGGGCCCTCCTATCATTTTTTTCGAAAAATTTTCGCGGCTATTTTTAAAGTTTTTCAGTTTTTGAAAAACTCTATTTCCATTGGCATCAGCGTTGAATAAAGCTGTTTTATATTAATTACTAAGAGCCTACTAATACTTAAGATAAAGATTACATACTTATAGCCTGTCCGAAACATTGATGCATAATTTGCGTGTATTTCGCAAAAATCGATTTCTAAAAATTATTTAGCATTTTTCTCAAAATCGATTTTTTCGAGCATACCGTTTACGCGGGCAGACTTTTCTTCATAACGACTTGATATAGAAGTGACAATTTTTTTTTATTTTATAGTAGACAGGGAGGACTAGGTCGTGACAGAGCCGAATTTTTGAATTTGTCTTTTGCTGAAATAAAAACCGTAGATCTTTTATTTTGATCAATGAGTTTTTTGGTCATGAATTCAAGAATTTTTGAAAAAAGGATTTTTAAAAAACAAAGGAAGGTAAATTCAAAAATCGAGCTCTATCACGATCTAGTCCTACGGGCACTCTGCAACCTAGACACCACTCCGGCCTGTTAGCTCTCAGTCTTCACGGCGAAAACCGTGACCGCGTCCAAAGTACTTTTTACTACTAAATTGACTGCAATTCATTAGTATACTGGTGTTTGGGGGGAGATATTCCATCCATAGCCTATCCTAGCCTAGACTCATATTCTCTGAAATATTTGGTTGAAATCCGACGAAAAATAACAAAGTTGGTTTCTGAGGGGAGGCCCCCTTAATTAGAACAAACAATGTTTGCCGATACAGACACATTATATTAATTGATTTACGCAAGTGTAACATCAAATGTACAACTATCAATGTACCTATTATTTTTAAAATTTAAAGAAGAAAAATCGTAAAAATTTTTCATTGATCTTTTCATGTAGGAGAATTGGTCCCCTCATTCTCCCCCTAAATACGTCGCTGATCCTTAGGACATATAAACTAAGGTTCATAACGAAATGAATTAGGTAATCTAACGAAAGATTTAAAATCGTGTTTATATTAAATGCACACAGTTTTTTCTCTTAAATATCATTTCCAAAGAAGATTAACTATGTAAAAACATGTTTATAAATTCATGAATTTCTAGAATTTTTTTATTTTAAATTTTTCTAGTTTCGAAAATGTTCTATTTCTAAACTTATTTTATTGATTAAAAAGAATTTAAAAAAAAAAAAACTTGATAAATGTTCAATCAAATTATTAGCGAGAAACAATAGGATCAATGTAATTTATTATTGATGAAGAAATAATTCTTTTTAGTTTCATATCATGCTTTATTTAGCATGGTTGCATGACATTACAAGATACTCATCAATGAAAACAGAAATTCTTTATTGATGAAGTATCATTCTTTAATTGATTCAAAATTATTCATAGTAATTTGACAGCAGAAGATCAACATTTATTCAATAAATATTATTTTTTTTTTAAAGATATTAAATCTGTAGAAATCTAAAGCGTTCGTATTGAACAATATAATGAATTGAAAATAGTATTACATACATAAGTTCTAATGAAATCATTGAAAAATATAAAATTATTACTAACTGATGGAATTCTATAGATTATACACGTTCTGAAAGATTACTTTAATAAACGTTTCTAATATGTTATTCATAAATATAGTTTCTTTTCTTTTTTTTTTGTTTTGATTTATAACTTGAATAGATCTTCGATGCTACACGAAAAATCACCTATAAAAATTTAGATCGTTGGTATACTGAATTACGTGATATTCGTCCACATATTCCATGTTTATGTGCTGTCAATAAAATTGATACAGCTATGGAAATAACAAAAAAGTCATTTTCATTTCCAAAAAAACATGATATGCCATTATATTATGTTTCGGCTGCTGATGGTACTAATGTAGTTCGACTTTTTCGTGATGCTATTCGTCTTGCTAATGCTTATCGATCGGGTGATACAGCAGATTTTATTGATCAAATTTTACGTGAACTTGAAGTAAGTCAATGAGAAGATTAATGAGATACTCTTATAAGTTTTCTTTTTTTTTTTATTGATTTTTTTCTTTTTCGTAAACTTCTCAGTTATAAATATTGTTTTTTCTTACTTCAATTTATACTACTTTATCCTTTTTCATCCCTTATGATGCTTGTGTGCTGCTAATTTGAGTTTTCTTGCGTGCATGCACAAGCTCAAATGGGATAGTGGAAAAATTAGAAATTCAAATTGGTTCCCATTTTTTATATGTTCAGGACCAACGAACATATGATAATATATCACAAACAATTGATCCATCATCACATTATTATGAAAATCATAATATAGATACGACTTTTTCATCAGATAATAGTTTAAATATAATACTTAATTCATCCAAATCATCAATATCAACATGTTTTGGTAATCGTCATCATAATTTAAATTGTTTTTCTAATCATAATAATCAACGTTATGAAAAAAAATATAAATTTTGGTTAAACTTAATTCTAGCCGAAGAATGGAATTATTTTTATTTATTAAAAGATAAATTTCAACCATATAATGAACAAGAAAAACATATTAAACGTATAAATTCAACATCAAAATTATCATCTATTCTTGTTATCTATTTAAATTCATTTATACCATATAAATCATCATCATCATTTAATCGTAGATTATGTCTTAATCATTATGAACGTCTTCATTGTCTTTTTAATTCACTATTTGAAGTAATTATTTTTGAAAATGAATATAATTTATGTTTAAATATAATTCAACGAATAACTTATTTAATTAATAAAATGAAAGATCAACAATATGAAAATATATTTATTCAATTTCCATCATATATTCAACGTACACTTATACTTTCATCTATGGATAATTATCAAAGTGTTAATATTATGTCAAAAGATAAATATACACTAATAGAATGTATACAACTTCATTTAATATTAGGTATTAATATTCAACAAGATAAACATTTACTTGTTTTATCAGTTGAACAACCACAAGGTTCAAATACAATTCATAATTATCATTTTGCTCATCCTGATAGATCTATTATTAATGAATGGTATCAATTATTAGATAAATATGTGAAACAAGCGAAATGTGATTATATGAACAAGTATCAAGAATATCGCATCTAATTTCTTTGATTATTATTCATCCAAGAAAATTGGATTTTTTTTGTGTTATTGTTATTGTAGAAAACATAAAATCAATTAAATTTTGTTTTCTGTTTCTTTTTTTCTTTCGTTCATAAGAATTTTGTTTTTCTATACGATTTAATTAAAATCAACTTTTTTTTTTTGTTCTGTTTAGACAATGAATGATGACACAAAAACAACAACAACAACAACAACGTAAAATGAGTTCATTGAAAATACAATTCATTTATTTTGGCATGTTAATAATCGACAAGTTATTTTGTCAGATTTATGCTGTTTTGTTCGTCCATTAACAAGCAGTAACTGAAATCAAATATTGATTTTCTTTTTTTCTTTTTTTTTTAATAATTTTTCTTTGAACACGTCTCATATAATTGTTAAATGAACAAGCACACAATATATCTTCAATTCATAATAATAATAATAATACATATATATATATATATATCAGAAAAAAAGCTAGACTGATTTATGTGTTAAATACAATAGCGTGACCATTGGTTGGTTCATTGGATGTTGCTGTGAAATTAACATTTTCTACAGGTTTTTTTGATATTTTTGATGATGTTGATGATACTAAAAGTTTTTTTCTTTCTACTGATGAATTATCAATATTAGTTGGATGAGTTGAAAGTGATGGTGGTATTCGAATTCGACTTTGTGTAGTAGTTTGTGGATGACTTATTTCTTTTGAATTACTAGTTGTTGATAGTGAACATTGAAATATTTCACGTAATTCTCGACGAAATAATGATGATGTAGCTGAATAAAGAAAAAAATTACAACAACAATTAAGATATCGAAATGTTTGTGTTAATGTAAATAAAGTTTTATTTTCCTCTGTTGATTGATGAATTTGCATATAGAACCAATAGATTCTATAGAGAATAAAACAAAAAAAAAAAAAAATTAGTATTAAATAAAAGAAAAATATTGTTTTTCTCATTATCTTACTGAAATGGAAATGACATAACCATAAATGCAATAGCAACAGCTATTAACATAAATGTTATATTCCGATCTGTATTTCTTTGACGTTGTCTTTTACGTGTTGATGCTGAAATTAATGTTGGATCAGTATTTGAATTAGTTGATACTACTATTGAACGTTGTATAGATGTATGATGACGAGCATGTAAACGATAAACAATAAGAATATTAAGTATACCGAGAAAAATAAATGGTGCTAATAAAACAAAAATTTAAAATTAATAAAATTAAAATACAAATATATATATATATTCATTTACCAATATAAGTAAAAATAACTGAAAATGTTCCAAATATTTTATATACAGTAGGTCGTCTTAAATAACATCGATCATTAAATCCAGATTTTCCAAAATTATAAGCTAATGTAAATGGAAACCATGAAAATGCAATAATTGATATTGATGTATAACTAACAACAGTTATAATTGTTGATTTAAATGTAACATATTTTGCTTTATCAAATGGTTTCCATACAGAAAACCAACGTTCAACAGATATAAATACAACTGAATAACCACTTAATGCAGCAAATAATAAATCAAAATAACCATGAAAATGGCTATAATTATAATTAAAACAACAAATAAAGAAGAACAATTAAATCATTTTGTTCGAATGATTTTCCTGAGATGTATTTTTTACATGTCATAAAATTTGAAATATCATTGGCAATTCAAGATTATCTATCTATATAGAAATATATTTCCTTCCTTCCGTTGATATTTTTTTTATTCTTTTAAAAGAAATCTCTTTTTAATAAAATCTAGGCCCATTTTTCTTTTTACTTTTTGTTTTTATAAAATAATTAAAGAATAATCTTCTTTCGTTTTTTTTTTTCATCTCTTCTATTTAATGTTTCTACTACCTTGTCTTTTATCTATTAATCTTTTTAAATTAACAATCTTTCATTTCTTTTGTAATAGGAATTAACAAAAAATGAAAAAAAAAAAAAAGAAATATTCTTACCACCAGAATGCCGATTTATCTGACAGTAATCCACCAAGATAATCAGGCAATATGATGTTAAATAGTGAAGTGATTAATAAAAGAATATCACTAAGTGCAAGAACAATTGTAAATATCGATACACAAAATTTAATCATTTCACGACGTGCAAATACTAAGATTGATAAAAGATTACCAATAATTCCAATAGCAACAGCACATGGCATTACCAAATGAATGCATACATAAATAATCATATTTGTTTCATTACTACTATTATTTATAGTAGTACTATTATTAGTATTATTATTAGCCATCAGGAAGATAACTTACATAACCGTCATTTATATCTACAGAATAATAAAAAAAAAATTGTTTTAGTATTATCGTCTTACTTTTTATGTTTCTGTAAAAGTAATCATTTGGAAAAAAAATCTATTTCGAAGTAAAGAACAAAAAAGAAAGACATAAAGAAATTTCGTTGATATTAGAGATTTCTTTTTTTTTTTTTTTGTTTTATTAAATATTCATTTTTTCATCACTCTAGTGGTAATATAACCTTTGACAAGGCTGATTAACTTCTCCTATTTTTTTTTATTCTGTGCACTTAACATCAGAAGAATGAGCATCAATCCTATTTAATGAAAATTTCTACAGGCATACTTTTCTCGTGGGAGTTAGAGACAGAAGTAAAAAAAAAAAGAAAAGCATATAGATCTGTTTTCTTTTTTTTTTTCTCGTTTCTCGTTCCGTCTCTGTCTCTTTTTTTTAGCATATTAAACTTAAGCGGAAATCCTATGTTAACGGTGAAGAAAAGACGAAAATGTGCAAACAAGTTAACCGTTATTGCTATAATGCATATTTATGCTGTAATAAAAAAGAAACTCTTTATACTTATGTAACATAATTAAATTGAATTAGTTTTAATAAACACAAAATTTGCCTATTTAAACATCTTCATTTATAATCATTTTGTCTTGTTTTTCTTTGTTTAATAATAAACCAAATCTTGATGATAATATTTTTTCTTTAGACTAGTATTAAAAAAAGAAATGAATAGAATAGAATAGAATAGATTGATGACATTGAATAGATAGAGACGTGAAATGTTCTATGGAATATCTAAATATATATATTTATATATCTATATTGTGTGATAAAATACAAAGAAATAGAGAAAAAAAAAAAGAATGCCTTTCAATTTTTCTCAAAAGAAGAACTCTAAATATTTTTTCAAATGAGAAGCATTCTAATTTTTAATTATTGTGTAATATAGATATTAGAAAAGAAAGTGAAGCACCCTTCCTTCCGTATAAATAAATAATCTATTGTATATTTTTACCTAATTATGTATGTTAACCGCGCACGTTTTCACTTTATGTTAACTATATATGTATGTCGTGCTCGCAGATCAACTAACACGATAAATGTCTCATTGAAATAAATTACTCATCGCCCATATTTGACACAGGAGAATATGTTATAATATATTTTAGTTACTTGCTTTTTTTTCTGTCTTTTCTCGCTCGCCTTTAGACTTGTAGCAGTCGATAATAATCCAATTTAGGCTTTTCTAACTGTTGCTAGAAAAGCTCCGTTTTTCTTTTTCTCACTTTCTTTTTGATGTGTGCACAAGTCGACTAGTTATGTACTCATATTATTATGACTGTCGACATATAAACGAGATAGATTGATAGATGCAACGAAGATGCTCTCATCGGTTTTGCAAATTTGTCGTTTATTTTATTGATTCAGCTAATAAAACATACGTCTGACAATCTTATTTTTCACATGAAATATTTTCATAGCGAATAATGTCTTTTCTAAAAAAATGTATTTCGATTTATAAACTTTTATTTCATTATCATTTCTTTTCTACGCCTTTGTTCATATTTTCTTCTCAAGATTGGAAAACTAACACAAGTTAATATACATTAGAAAGTGTTTTTTTTTGTTCACATAAATGTCTGATTACACTATAATGATGAAGCGTCTCTAGTCATTCTCGACCCTGTTTTCTTTGTTTTTTTTCTTTTTTGGATATTTGAGTAATATCTGAAGGCACATAGGCATTGGATATATACACACAGGCATATGCTAAGCATGACATTTTAGATATCGCTTGAAGAAACAACACTCTGTTTGTACTCATAATAAGAAAATGTTAAATTATCAAACCTGACAAAACCAAGAAAAAATTGACAATTTTATTTTTATATCTAAAAAAAGAATGACAGTAGCTAAACCTAGTAAAGAATTAAACTTAATCATAGTAATAATAATAATGGAATAATAAAAGAAAATTATAGTAAGTTAATGAAGGAGTAGTTGTCATTTTTATCCACAGAAATTAACAAAAGAGTAAAAATAAATATGATATATATTCTCTTAAATCTCTTTACTCATATGACATTATTTAACTAATTGACCCAGATTAAGTACAATTTAGTTTATATGCTAGTTTTAAATACACATCTTCAATAAATGTCTACCTACAGATATTACAAACATATAGAATGAATAACAAACAAACGAAATAGAATGCACAACTTATGAAACACTCTTTATCAGAATGATTTAAGAAAGAAGAAGAAGAAGAAAAAGAAGAAAAAAAAAAAGCAACATGTTTTCGTGATAAAAAAGAAATGCGCTGTATATTTGATTATTTGAAGGGCAATTACAAAAATCGTGACCAATAATCACTCTTAATCTGTATTCTAATTCATAGAAAGATAATTCAATATCTATCGAAATTCTTTTATATTCAAATTCGCTCTTTTCATTACATAATTGAAATGTCAAATATGACAAAATAATTCAATGAAATGAAATCTTCTTTTGTTATAATTAATAAAATATTTTCTTCATCTCTTTTATTGTTAAGAAAAAGGATTAAAAGGGAAAAAAACAACATAAATTTTCATTTTACCATTGAATATCACTCTTATTTTAACAATGATTTAATCTTTTTCTAGAATCATCTATCATTATTAAGGATAGTTTCTATACAAAAACAAAAATTAAATTTTATTCTTATATCG